GATGTTTACATGGACTGATTTCATCAAAGTATTTTGATTTTTTTTTTATATAAAGCAAGAAAAAAAATTTTAAAATACATTTTCTTATACAGTTTGACGAGCTCTATTCAACCATATGTAAAACATTGCGAAAAAAAAGTGATGCTCAAATTTTGAATTTCCCGCACCTTACTCAGTGTGGTGAAGAACCCCTTTTTTCAATGGTGAAAAGTATTTTTTACTATATGATAAAACGAAATAAAACAAGATTAAGACTGCTTGATTTATGAGTGGAAAGGAAAATTAAACCTGCTCGTAAATAATTTAAATAAAATAAACTAGTGATAGAATGTTCCCAGAATGCTGTCTGACTTTAACCGAGTATTGATTTCCACAAAGAGATCTCTGAATAGTATGATAAACTGAAAATGAAAGCGATGAGAAAATCAAAATCGGCTACGATTGAATAAGCTTAAATCCATTGAATGCTATTAATTAAAATCGAATCATCCTTCGAATAATTATTTTTCTTCATACTATACAAATTCTATTTGTGAACAAAGTATCAGTATGTGGAAGGCGTCAGATACGGGAACATTTCCTTGAGAGCTATAATCATATTTACTATGTGATATTATGATGTTTCCTTTTGTTCATAAACAAGTACATAAGCACTTTTACTCAAAATTTTAGTCTCGTCAATTGATTCCACAGAATTATCATTATAACAATACCATGCATTGGTAAAAACGTCTTTTGCGTATGTTGTGTAATGACCACCCATCATGGTACCACTATGATTGGATACAGCAATAAGGTCATATAGAGTATACATTTTATTTCTATTAGGATGTGCCACAAATTTCTTCAAATCTAAATTGACCAATGGAAAATCAACGTCAGTATCAATTTTATTATTGGAACTAAGATCGAAACTAAAGCGATTCAGTTGTATAATTAGTATCTTCGGTAATTTCCAAAGATCTAACTTTTTTTCGGCGTTTGTATATTGTTTACATTGATCATTATCGCAATACCAATCAGCGCCCTCACCATATTTTTCATGTTTCATCATTGTTGCAATGCAACCTTGTAATTGGACAGTTGCTTTTAATCTTTTTTGAAGAGTGGATATATTATAATTATCATTATCATGACTACCCGTCTGTTCGTTCTCGTTAAGTAGTGGAACAGATAGAGAAATAATTCTGTCGTTAGTCACAAATGGAATTTTACAATCTGAACACATGATTGTTGATTGCATTTCACCATGAAAAATCGTTGACACTACGGACACACCATTATCTTTTTTTAAGTCTTCATGAAGTGCATCCAATAAAATAGCCATGAGCTCATATGAATCTTGTTGATTACAGCCAAGAAACCTTGGAACCAATTGGCTAATGCGATCTTTAACAACTTCCGGTCTTGTTGATTTATGTCCGGATGACCACATTGTTATAATCAAATCTTCATAGGCTTTTGCCACCTCGCCTTTTGTACCTAACGAATTTTCGATATTGATGTCCTTTTTCAATCCGTTTTTTAAAATATAATTTGTTAAACATGGTACATTACTTAAGCATTGTAGTGCACTATTCATATAGCATGTATTGCCTAAATTGGATAGACCGCATAAACCATAACCATAACCAGTTGTATCTGTTTTACGTTTAGATTCGACGTATTTGTAAAGAGACTTTCGAGCTTTCGTATTCTCATTATTTGACAGTTGAGTTTTATTCGATTTATCTGTTGCTACTGGAACTGTTTCTTTCGACTCTACACTATTCGATGTCTTTGTTGTCACCGATGTATTTTCTATACTTCCAAGAGGATTTGGTGCTACTTTTGAAGATGATTGAGATAGTTGTTGTTGATGTGTTTTGACGCTCAAAGACTCGGTGACTTGACCATCACCTTGTAAAGTTTGAGAAATGAAGTATTTTGCATCGTAGGCGAAAGTTTCGATGCAATCTTCCTTCTTATTTGATTTCTGCTGTACGGTTGTTTGGTCTTCAAGTGATTTTAGATTAGTATCTTCATTTATTAAAGTTTGGTTTAGTGGTTCAGATAGCTGTTTTGTTTTACGTTCATCGAAGTTTGTATCACTACAGTTAGAAGTTGAGTTCATCTTTACTGTTTTATCACCGCAAATTTCAAATATATTAGTCGGTTTGGCCATTGCTGTGCTTAATTTCGGTAGAGAACGTTCTATCTCGTCTTTTAACTTTATGGATGCGTCCACAAATCCATTTGAGTTGGAATTCGTTTCAGATGGTGATGGCTGTAGCGAAGACGAGCTGGACACTTTGGAGACATTTCTTTGATATGTAGTGCCTAAATGTGACAATGAAGGGTATTGTAAGAAAAAAAAATTGTATTATTTCAGCACTTTTCGGATATGAAGGCACAGAAGTTATGGTTGTTTCTTTGTCATCAACTTGTACTCTTTCTTGTAACTCTTCTGATGTTGCTTCCAATTCTAGTTGTTTTTTCGAGGTACAAGTAATCAATCGTAAAAAAGAAGCGAAAATTCGTCCTAAAGAATAGGCTGTATAACTTAAAAAAGAGTTCATGAGAAGACAGCAGTGGACAACAAATAAATCGGTAAGATAAATGGTCATTCCAAGCGGAAAAATATCGTTCGGGTCAACAATGAATTCTCTTTTCTCTCTGTGTATATCGAACAACTAACCATATACATACATATATAAATCGAACCCTTGTATGGAAAAACGATCAAGACAAACGGGAAAAACTTTTCCTATTGACGAAAGGTGTCTTTTCATGGAGAAAAAATGCTTTGCAACAGAAAAAGATATCCCACGTCTGTTTCTATATAATTATGCATGTTTATACATGAATTTATGGAAGACATGTTTCGTCATACGTTATTACTATTAGTAAAAGTAATTTTTTTTCGATGTTACGATAGTTTGTCTTTCTTCTTCTAGCATATTACACACATCATTAAAGCAGAACTACGATTAAGATAACTGGCCAAAATGTATTTTGAATTAATAACGAAAATTTTCAAATTCATTTTTAAATTTGGAATTCAACTTTGACACTTCCATTGAAAATTTCATTTACTTTCCCGATGCTCAGAGACTTATATGTTATTAGAAAAAATTTCTATGTACCTCTAATGATACAAAAAAGCACTCTGATTGACAAAATACATCTACCACTCTTGATACTTCTTCAGATGAAATTTCAATAAATAAAAAATTATTTTAAGTCTGTCAACAAAGTCCCTATTGTTATTGTATAAGCATTCTAATATAATCAAATCTAAAATAACACATCTTGAAGCTACACATACTAATTTCAAGCAAACTAATGTCTGTTTCAAAATATAATGTCCGTCACCATTTTTTGAATAACTGGAGAAAGCAAACAGCTAGAGACCTACGGTTTCACCAATCGATAGATAAGACAGGGGGACGTCTTTTTCCCAGATAATGTGTAAAGCGAAATCCTTTTAAAACTATTATCCATTTCAAAAAAAAAGACACTTGGGCAGAATTTTTATAACTTTTGATAGAACGATGATAGAGACCTGTAATTTTCACGTTTAATAGAACTAGCCAGGGCACGTTTTACTATGAAACAACCAAGTCTTTAGGTAAAGTTTGTCATAGGGAACCCATGAACAGAAACTTGTCCAGTTCCCCGTTACCTGAATTTAAGTCCAATCGTAACTTCCAAATAGTGGAATAGATAGCCCATATCGAGATCTACAAATCTAGACCAATCCCCAGATCTGTATCTTTTACCGATCAAAAGTTATAGCTTTCTTTCGGAAGAATATCAACTTCCATTTGGATGTAGGTAAAAATTAAAAAAACACTTGACATATCGAGTAATAGATATGCTCAATATTGAGTCTGTTCTTTCAGCTGTGTTTCACGTTGACAAACCTGTTTGAT